TACCTCCTAGTTATTCCCTCCTTTGTATTTATATATATATATATATATATATATATATATATATATATATATATATATGCATATTAAATAATTAAGAAAAGAGACAACTTTAAGGTTCCATGGCTATAATTTATTTCCCCAGAAAAAATATTTTGTTTGGTCCATCAGGTCACATCTCTAGTTACAAACGAATTTGGTTTCTTTTATTTTTAATACCACCTTTGAAAAGGAAAATATAGACTCCCAGAACTCCCAGTAAAGAATGAGAACGTGTACATACCTCTTACTGTTGTCACTGTCGGTGTAATCTAATATATACTTCTTCTAAAGTGTGCAGATGTTTTGCCGACCGTGCTTTGCCCAGAATGGAAAACCACGAATCTCGTTAGTATCATACTAGTCGCCAACCATTCTTCAGATGAGGTGTTGGCCAAAAAAAGTTAACTTTTTTAGGGAAAAGAGGAGGCACGTTAGAGTAGTGGATAGCGACTCGGATTGAGGAATCGAAGAGCCGAGTTCGAATTCCAGTCGAATCCATGGCATTCACTTACGTGCTAACACCCGTTCAGTAAACACAAATATGCCTGAGCGAGTGTCTGCAATAGGGATTGGCTAGCTGATCTAGTAGACGGGTATCCTCGAATGCGAATGGCCAGCTATTTATATATATATATGATATGATGAGGATGAGGATGATGGACTCTCCCGTCGCGTTCGACATATAAGACAGTTCTGTCCAGAGGAGGCACGTTGGAGTAGTGGATAGCGACTCGGATTGAGGAATCGAAGAGCCGAGTTCGAATTCCAATCGAATCCATGGCATTCACTTACGTGCTAACACCCGTGAAAAAATTATGCATCCTCTTCTTCATCCAGCTATGGGTAAATTGCAGGACAGACCGGGTTCTATAGCCTTGGATGACATCTGGCTACAGTCAGTTATGTATCACGCATGGCGCATAATTGACTTTTACGGAAAAATATGGAGCTTTTTTTGTGGGTGTTTAGTAAACACAAATATGCCTGAGCGAGTGTCTGCAATAGGGATTGGCTAGCTGATCTAGTAGACGGGTATCCTCGAATGCGAATGGCCAGCTATTTATATATATATATGATATGATGAGGATGAGGATGATGGACTCTCCCGTCGCGTTCGACATATAAGACAGTTCTGTCCAGCTAATGAACTACATACAAGTCTACATATTGTGCAACAGCGAGGGCTTCGGGACATAGCAACAGGGATATTTGCTGACGTTTTTTTCGCCATTGTCTTTTGTCTTTTAGCCGGTCAATTCAACGGATTTCAAAATTTCTGTTAGCATTCTGATACAAACATCTCCACTTATTTCTATCCAGGACAATTCGATTTAAACTACAATTCTCCATGATTTTCTCTCTTAAAAACAGTAAAATCGACCTTGCTAACCGAAACGCTCCTCTGTGGCTCAATCGGTAAAGCACGTCAGGCTATATGACGGTTCCGTATAGGATACAGTTTCGATTCCTGTCGGTGGACGTATGTTTTCTATGAAAATTTCTCGGACACTCAGGCCAGTAAATGTTGTTAATACTGTTTATTATAAACAGAGCATTTACTTAAATATTTGTATCTATAAAAAACGTATAAATATTAAAAATGTATATATATATATATATATATATATATATATATAAGCAAATATATGGATATAGATCCGACAGTATGAAGAAAAATATACAGAAAAAAAACAAACAAAAATCTTAATATGCAATTATGCTGTATTAATGTTAATATAAAGTCAACGTCGGACGTTTCGGTCTATTTAAGACCATCTTCAGGACCTTTTCATTTAAACATAATTAACATTAGAACATATAAAAATTAAACACGAAAAGACGACGTGATCATATTTAAACGGAACGCTGATCTTATATAAAAATTTCAGTTATCTGTTTGGATTAGTTGTGCTCTTATGTCCATCGTCTTTTCTGTTGAATTTTTATGTTCTGATGTTAATTATGTTTAAATGAAAAGGTCCTGAAGATGGTCTAAAATAGACCGAAACGTCCAACGTTGACTTTATATTAACATTAATACAGCATAATTGCATATTAAGATTTTTGTTTGTTTTTTTCTGTATATTTTTCTTCTTAACTTTCTGTGTATTTTAAATAAATAATATGAAAAATATGCTATAAGCATGACTGTTAACCGTTGCATTTTAAAGAAAAAAGAAAGAAATTACAGTAATGGATAGCAATTACAACTTGCACTCCTGAACAACAGATAGTTTTGTATCACTACTTGGACTCCTGAAGAGGATCTTGGAAGAAGATAGAAAGTTCTTGGAAAATAAAAACGAAAATTTCAGTTGTAGCACATTTCTCACATTATTTAATTACAATACAGGGAAGGTTGTTCTGCTACCCCCCCTCTCTCTCTATCTATCTCTCTCTCTCTCTCTCTCTCTATATATATATATATATATATATATATATATATATATATATATATATTCGTACAATTGGAATTAAGATACCATTAGTTAATGACCATTTTCATCTGCCAATTTTAAATTTTAAATTCGCAGGAATTTTTAAATTGTCTATGGTGTCAGTTTGTAGAAGGAGAAATTTGAAATTCGCAGGTGAAAATGATCATTAACTAATGGTATCTTAATTCGAATTGTACGAAAAAATTTGCTCTGTTTAATGAAAATAAACACTGACCGCTCTTTGTGAGTCAATTTTAACATTTAATATTTAATATTTAAAATTCTATATTGTATTGTGTTAATAGGACTCACTTGGATTATACCAACGGATTATTACATATATATATATATATATATATATATATATATATATACAACAATGAGACCCAGTTTCAAATCTTACCATATTTAATTAAATAGGAAGGTGACTGAGATTATCCGTCGAGGGAAGTGATCCCAATCCAACACGCAGAATCTTTGGAAAATTTCTTTAAACTATACCAGGGTATTGTTCCAAGAATTCACTGCCATATCGGCGGATTGATATTATATAGTTGTTCAACACTCTTTTGTTTCTTCAGAATATTTCTTAATACTTTGTTTAGTTTTTGAAAGGCATCTTACCCTATTCCAATGTGATTTCGAATTTCCGCTTCACATTTCAAACTGCGAAACATTTAACCGGATGATTATATTACTGTACTTGATTTTGTCATCCCCAATTTGTAACTCTCATCTTTGGCTCTTTCTTGCTTATGACCATGCATCCTGTCTTCATAACAAGAGACCTTAAACACTTCTTTCTTTCTTTTTCCCACTGAAACAAAGTAACGTCTCTGTTATGTCTTTCTACGCGATCGAAACGCAATAGTATTATTTATTACGTATTGGCAGAAGACATTAAACACTTCTTTCTCACTGATACCAAGCAGCTTCTCTGATACGTCTTTTCCGTTTTTCCACGCAATAAAAACGGACTAGACCATTATTTATAAAGTATTGGGAGGGCGTAACGGTCGTGATAACTAAGGGAGGAACAGACAGAATTTAAGAAAAAAATCAATTCACCCTAATCAATCACCCTAATCATGCCATTAAGACGAAAGTGGGTGCTGGGAGTGAAAGAATGAAGGAACCGGAAACCCAATCCTAATCAGGGATAAACCTCTACTTTTTTTTAATCAATTCACCCAAAGCAAGGTGATGATGCCATTAGAAGGAAAGGGGCTGCAAGGGTTGAAAGAGAATGAGAAGACTTTAGAAAGAACCGGAAACCCAATCCTAAACAGGAAACAAGGGACAAAACTCTACTCCTGTTCAAAACACCAGGGTGGGGAGAGTGTCAATTATAATGAGATATCTATAAACTAGTTTATAATTTCTTTGATTATGGTTTTAAATCCAAGTCTTTCTTTTCTTCGTAAAAACGAACCTTCTCATTACAAGGCCTATGCCTTAACTGTGGAGATATATCGACAAGGAATATTTAATGTTTTCTATGTAAATATAGGCGGACACACATAATTCGTTACATTGTGGAGAAATCTCTAAGCAAAGCACTATTTTAAGAACTGGATGCAATTCAACACAATCAGGAATACCCTTGCAGAAACAGACTGTAGCCAAATCAAGAATAATTTCCAATTTCGGACTCAAAATACCAACTTATAGCTTTCAACTTAAACCAGCCTTCGAAGCAAATTATGTATTCGAATAGAATTGTGCGCGAGGGAATAGACCCAGTAATTATTACATGTACCACGTAAAAGAAAAAAAAAACTATCGTAAGAACAACAAAAAAAAATACTTGCAGGTTTGGTTCCATCGCACGAAGGTGGGATAAACGGCTAACGTTCTCATTCTCAGTTCAGTTACGTAATTATCTTTAGATCAATTTAGTAGATTTATACAGCATGCGGCAGAAATACCTCCCACATTTTAAAGGTTGACAAAAAGACCAAAGTAACATCTTTTAAAAAGTTTATTTCACTTTTTTTTAAAAAGAAGGCTACAGTTTTCATACATTTTATTTTTTAAATGATATTCTCCAAATTGCGGTTTCTATTCGTCATAAACTGTCTTAGAGGATTTCTAAACTTTTCCATCACTCGGAAGTTCGAGCGCTTCGATGTTTTCCAGGTGGAGTTTTCATCCCATAGCAGTATAGATTAAGATATATTTTTGCCCATGTTCCGGAACAGCATCATTCAGACGTCACTTGAAATGAGCAGGAAAAGCTCTGTGTTTCAATTACAGATTCACCAGTTTAAAAAAAAAAAAAGATTCAACAGCAGACGCATGATGTGACTTGGTTCAATCCAGGATGGTAACTGATGGAGTATCATAGACAAATGGTAAAACATTAGTTAGATCAAGATTGCCACGTGCCGAAGTTCATTAGCATCACACAGGTAACAGTTTAAAATGTGGGAGCTATTTCTGCCGTGACCTGTTAAATTAAGATCGTACGCTGCGTCTACCTTGAAAAATTGCCATAAAAGTATTTATAGAAAAGGCACAGGGATGCTACATTACGGACCAGTTTTTCATCTACTTGTTCTTTCTTTTTTGCTTTCTTTCTTTCTTTATTTCTTTCTTTATTTCTTTCTTTCTTCATATATTTTTGCCTCCGTTCTTTCTTATCTATCTGTGCATATTTTCCTTCTGTCTTTCTTTCTTTCTTTCTTCATATATTTTTGTCCATATTCTTTCTTTCTTTCTTTCTTCATATATTTTTGTCCATATTCTTTCTTTCTTTCTTTCTTCATATATTTTTGTCCATATTCTTTCTTTCTTTCTTTCTTCATATATTTTTGTCCATATTCTTCCTTTCTCTCTTTCTTCATCAATTTGTGCCTAAGTTCTTTCTTCCTTTCTTTCTTCATCTTTTTGCGCCCCCGTTTTTTCTTATCTATTTTGCATATTTTCTTTCTTTCTTTCTTTCTTTCTTCATATATTTTTGTCCATATTCTTTCTTTCTTTCTTTCTTCATATATTTTTGTCCATATTCTTTCTTTCTCTCTTTCTTCATCAATTTGTGCCTAAGTTCTCTCTTCCTTTCTTTCTTCATCTTTTTGTGCCCCCGTTTTTTCTTATCTATTTTGCATATTTTCTTTCTTTCTTTCTTTCCTTCCTTCTTTCGTTCTTTCTGTCCTTCTTTCTTGCTTTCTTTATTTCTTTCTTCATATATTTTTGCCTCCGTTCTTTCTTATCTATCTGTGCATATTTTCCTTCTTTCTTTCTTTCTTTCTTTCTTTCTTTCTTTATTTATTTATTTATTTATTTATTTCTTCATATATTTTTGTCCATATTCTTTCTTTCTCTCTTTCTTCCTCTATTTGTGCCTAAGTTCTTTCTTTCTTTCTTTCTTTCTTTCTTTCTTTCTTTCTTTCTTCATCTTTTTGTGCCCCCATTCTTTCTTATCTATTTTGCATATTTTCTTTCTTTCTTTCTTTCTTTCTTTCTTTCTTTCTTTCTTTCTTTCTTTCTTTCTTCATATATTTTGCCGATATTCTTTCTTTCTCTCTTTCTTCATCTATTTGTGCCTAAGTTCTTTCTTTCTTTCTTTCTTTTTTCTTTCTTCATATATTTTTGCTCATGTTCTTTCTTTCTCTCTTTTTTCATCTATTTGTGCCTAAGTTCTTTCTTTATCTATTTGTGCATATGTTCTTTCTTTCTTTCTTTCTTTCTTTCTTTCTTTCTTTCTTTCTTTATGTATTTGCCCCCTTTCTTTCTTTCCTTCTTTTCTTTTTTTTAATTCCTTCTTTATTTAATAGATAAAGAACTTATACACAGGATAAGCTGCGCTTATACGTAGTTTCGCCCAGCTCCGTAAATTGCAACAAAAGCCAAGCATTAACCTGAAAACTCTACTCATATCCCATAATAGCCTCGTCAGATTGAAACGTTCATACAGATGTCAAGCATGGCGCCAAAGATGTTCAGAAATATCTAAACTGCCAGTGGGATGTAACCACTTTCTAAGACCAATAGTTAAAATGGTTTTGAGCGAATGAAACCTATTGGTCATGGTGAAGACGAGTTCCACTTGTAAAATTCACAATCCCTTAAGCTATCTTTTTTTAAGGTATTTAACCTCAAACAAGGCGATAAAGCCACCACGACGCAATAGTGTTACTGGGTTTTAGAGAATATGAGAAAAGAAAAACAACAACAACAAAAAAACACTATTAACGAGAGAGAACAACAAAAGAACAAAAATTAAGAAGATAGAAGATAACGATTGATATTGCATTTAAATTTTTGAAGATCAATGTTAACTGGGAAGTAAGAAGCTGGATGACAGTTCCGTAAGTGAGAAGTGCGACAGAAGAAACTGCTAGCATAGAACATACGGTTATATTTAGCCATTTTAACTGAAACATATCGAGACCTTGTAATCTAGTACTGCACTGCACGTAAATTGATGAAGGCGAAGTACCATAGTGGAAATTGATAAAGGCGTGGAACCATAGTGTAAAGTGATAAAGCCGAGGTACCAAAGTGGAAATTGATAAAAGCGAGGTACCATAGTGGAAATTGATAAAGATAATATACCATAATGGAAAGTTCATCAGAAAGATTACCATGGAATTAATTATTGAAAAGGCAAAGGGAAGATCAATTCCGGTGGCGGAAATGTGACTAAAACCGAGATGCCAGGTCAGGACCAATAACATTGCAGATTCTCCTTTAGATTTTATCAAGAACCTTTAAATATATACCAGGAGCAGCAGACCAGATGTGGCATTAATATTCAAATCATGGACAAATGGTAGACTTGTAAATATGTAAAATAGATTCCGTCGAGAAAATTTGTCTAGCAAGAGACGGGGAGCCAACTTTCCTAGCAGTAGACCCAGTCATTGATCCAATATAATACTTCATGTCAGCGGAAACATTAATCCGAGAAGGCGTAATCAGTCACTCTTTTGGAGTTTAGCATTAACCATGCTGATGGAAGCTAAAAAGGGTTCTAACAGACGATTAAAAAGAACCGTTTCGTTTTGTAGGCCCTAAAATTAAGAGGCCATACCTTGCCCCAGTTAACAACGGAATGTAGATCATTTTTTTAGATCGTCCTTGGTATGACGTTAAACTGCATCCAACAGCAAGGCCTCTGATCAGGTTTTGAGGAGCGTGGAACCACCTCTTAATTGCTGGTGTTCCCAGGTCCACCCGGACCCTGGGTGGTAGCACCTGTTAGGGCCCCAGCTATGGGCAAATAGTAAACTCCCAGTTTTTTTCCAGACCTTACCCACGTACTGGGTATGACGATAAACTACATCCGCGTCCTGGGTATAACGATAAACTACGTCCAACTGCAAGGCCTCAGATAATGTTTTCAGAAAAATAATGTTGTCAGCTATACGTTTTTGAAACAATAATGTTTTCAGCTATATGTTTAATAGTACTATATATTTATTATATATATATATATAACTTAATTTGGCATTAAATGACCTACAGTGGTTGATATGCCATAAAACTCAACCAACCAAAATATTTTTTAGATCGGCTGTCAATTTGACCTCATAGAAACGCTAAGAGTTACTATTAAGACAGGAATCCATGACTGTGTCATCAACATAAGACACCGAGAAGCAGAAAAAGTTTCACGCACGATGCAATCGTCAGGTGCTGATTGAAAACTGACTGTTGTAAAATTTAAAATATTGATGTATATTTAGACAGCATATCTTCATATAAACATGTTTCATTGAATAATATAGACGTATTATGTCTATTTATTTTTATAATGATCCTTTCTTGTTCTCTAATCAGTTCCTTGATGTTGAGACGAAATTCATCAATGTGCCGTAGTTTTTTCTAACCCAATTACTTTCGATCTTCCTTGATGAATTTCATCTTAACACGAAGAAACTGATTAGAGAACTGGAAATGAACAGAATAAAAGGAATACAATATGAAACATTTGATTATATATAAATATATATCGCCTATATATATATATATATATATATATATATAGATAGATAGATAGATAGATAGATAGATAGATAGTGTTTTACCATAAAACAGACAGTCGGCTCAAAGTGTTGACCTCAATGTCCACTTTTATATTTGCATACGCTGTATCCCTGATATTGAGAATTTTAACTCATAAATATAGTATACGTTAAAACTATATTTTATCTCATATATATATATATATATATATATATATATATATGTGTGTGTGTGTGTGTGTGTGTGTGTGTGTGTGTGAAAGTATAAAAAATACTTTTGTACATGTGTGTACTCTATTGGGGAAAGGATAGGAAAAAGTATGAAGCAAAACCTGAATTTCCGAGGCATATCTTTGTCTGTTGTTGGAAAATCATTTCGAAGATCATCTTGAATAGGTTAGTTGATAAGATTGTCAGTAGCATCCTTCCCGAATCGCAGTGTGGTTTTCGCGCGGGTCGAGGCACAATAGACATGCTTTTCAGTGCACGACAACTGCAAGAAAAATGCAGAGAGCAGAACCTTCCATAATATCACTGTTTTCATTGATTTGTCAAAAGCGTTTGATATCGGGAATAGATCAACGCTTTGGAAGATTTTTTTGAAGTTGGGCTGTCCTAAGAAGTTTGTGTATTTGATTCGAACTCTTCATGAAGGGATAAAAGCTAGAGTTAGTTTCAATGGAAGTCACCCTGAAGAAATACCTGTTGATAATGGGGTCAAACAGGGCACCCACGCTCTTTACCATTGATCTCCTAGAGTCTCCTTTTTTGTGGCTTTATATGGAAATCCAGGTGGTATCTATATTAGATATCGAACGTTTGGTTAGGTAAACAATATACGTAGAATGTTGGTACACACAAAGGTTTCGTCCTCTTTTGGTAAGGGAGCTGTTCTACGCGGATGCTTGTGGTTACACGTCCTAAAGATGAAATGCAACGTTTTATGAACCGTTTTGCGCATGCGTGTAAATCTTTCGGCTTAGAGATCAAGACGGTTGTTATGCACGACCCAGAACCTGGATTGTCCGACATAGAACCAGCTATATATATGTGAGGGGGCACAGTTCACTCTTTTTATATCTTGGCAGCTCCCTTGCTGAGGGATGCAGTCTTGACAAAGAGATCTCTTTGCGCATTGAAAGAGCTTCTGGATCCTTTCTGGGTCTTGAAAAACGTGTTTGATCCCAGCATGGAATCAAGCTGCAAACAAAGGTCATGATCTATAAAGCATGCGTTTTGACGACTCTCTTGTATGCAAGTGAAACGTGGACGCTGTATAAACACCAACTAAAGGCTTGTGAGCGCTTCCATCAACGATGCCTGCGACAATTGCTTTGTATTGGATGGCAGTCCCATGTCTCAGATACAGAAATATTAGAGAAAACTAGACTTCCAATGATTGAATCCATGGTTATAAAAAGTTGTCTTCGATGGGCTGATCATGTCGTTCGAATGGATGACATTCGTCTGCCAAAGCAGCTGTTTTACAGTGAAATGGGAAAAGGCAAACGAAATGCATCAAAACCTAAGAAAAGAATTAAGGACTTTGTTAAATGTTGCCTGTTGAAATCCAGCACATCGGTGGATCAATGGGAGACAATGGCACTGGATAAAGGCCAGTGGCGCTAACTGATTCCTGAGGGTATAGAATCCTTTGAAGATCTATCTATCTATCTATCTATCTATCTATCTATCTATCTATCTATCTATCATACTGTTTATATCTATCTATCTATCTATCTATCTATCTATCTATCTATATATATATATATATATATATATATATATATATATATATATATATATATATATATATATATATATATATATATATATATAATACGTTTTATATCTACCTATATATATATGATATTGTTTATATCTATCTAGTATGATTTATGAGGGTATAGAATCCTTTGAAGATTTATTGAATATCTATCTATCCATCTATATATCGATCGATCGATCTATCTATCATACTGTTTTATATATATATATATATATATATATATATATATATATATATACGTTTTATATTTACCTGTATATATATATATATATATATATATATATATATATATATATATACATATATATATATCATATTGTTTGTATCTATCTATCTATCTATCTATCTATCTATCTATCTATCTATCTATCTATCTATCATACTGTTTATATCTATCTATCTATCTATCTATCCATCTATATATATATATATATATATATATACGTTTTATATCTACCTATATATATATGATATTGTTTATATCTATCTAGTATGATTTATGAGGGTATAGAATCCTTTGAAGATTTATTGAATATCTATCTATCCATCTATATATCGATCGATCGATCTATCTATCATACTGTTTATATATATATATATATATATATATATATATATATATAATACGTTTTATATCTATCTGTATATATATATATATATATATATACATATATATATCATATTGTTGTATCTATCTATCTATCTATTTTTCTATCTATCTATCTTGTATGATAGATAGATAGATAGATAGATAGATAGATAGATAGATAGATAGATCAAAGCTTAAGTAAAAGATTTAAGGACTTTGTAAAATGTTGCCTGTGGAGGTTCAGCGTATCGGTGGATCAGTGGTAGACAATGGCTCTGGATACACTTTAGTGGCGCCAACTGATTCATGAGGGTATAGAATCCTTTGAATATAGCCGTGTATTGTATGCCGCTGTCAAACGATCAGTTCATAAGAGTGAACAAGGTCCAGCACCAGGCCCACAAGGCCACCACGTCAACTGTGATATATGCGGTAAAACTCTGTTTCTCACTTGCATCTCTCAAAAGCCATCTGCACAAACATGTTCAACCTGCAAGTCCGCAAAATAACATTCATGCGAGCCAAAACAATCGACAATGTCCAGTCTCTGGTAAAACTTACCACAGTTTGGCGAATTTAAGAAGTCATCTACGGGTGCATACAACTTAAAATAAGGAAGGAAAGAGGAGTAAATGTGAAACTCAAGAGGTGGTCACACTTGAAACCGAGACGAAAGCCACCACCATATATATATATATATATATATATATATATATATATATATATATATATGCGCGGTATTTACTTGAAAGTGCTCAATATCAGTAATAGAGCTAATATATTCAGTTGTATGGATATGTGACCCTGGATTTCACGTTTTGCGATCATCAGACAAACTGTAATGTATATTTGGGAGGCACCCTCTCTTTCAAACATATTTCCTTGGAATTTACAGAATAGAAAAATTTGATGAATTTTTTGATTGAGTTTTACTAGTATGCTTAAATATTTCTAAAGTCTACCATTTGTCCATGCTTAGAATATTGCTGCCATATATGGTCCAGTGTCCCTGCTGTTGAGTTACTTGATAAGATCTAAAGAAGAATCAGCCATATTATCGGTCCTGATCTGGCTGCTCGGCTTCAGTCACTTACCCACTTCCGTAAAGTTGCCTCTCTGTGACTTTTTTTATAAATACTTTTATGGTAATTGTTCGGATGAGCTCATTCCTATGGTACCTAGACTTTAGCAAGTCACCCATCTAGGTACTAATCAGGCTCGACATTGCCTAACTTCGGTGATCATACGGGAACCGGTGTTACAAAGCTATATGGCCCTAGGTCTGTTAACTTCTCAAAATGCTCAGATAAAATTGCGAAACGTCAACAATTAAACAAAATAACATTTCAAAATCCAAGTGGTTTGCACGTATTCTATTTTTACATACTTTGCCAGATATTGCACATCAATTACTGATCAATTATGTCAATGTTTATTAAAATTATACACAAAATATTATAAAGAGAAATTACCCAATTTTGTTATTTATAAAACACATTTTTTCCTAAAAAAATGTCTTCAAAAATCCCGTGTCCTATAAATCTGGTTATGGTTTAGTTTTGTTTTACATCATACCAACCTGAATGGTTTATTTAATACCGACAAGATATTTTTGCTGGTAATATTTTTTTTCAAAAAGATTTCCTGGTAATATTTTTTTTTTCAAAAAGATTTCCTGGTAATATTTTTTTTTTCAAATGGATTTCCTGGTAATATTTTTTATTTTCAAAAGGATTTCCTGATAATATTTTTTTTTCAAAAAAAATTTCTTGGTAATATTTTTTTTCAAAAAGATTTCCTGGTAATATTTTTTTTCAAAAAAAATTTCCTGGTAATATTTTTTTTTCAAAAAAGATTTCCTGGTAATATTTTTTTTCAAAAAAAATTTCCTGGTAATATTTTTTTTTCAAAAAATTTTCCTGGTAATATTTTTTTTTCAAAAAGATTTCCTGGTAATATTTTTTTTCAAAAAAAATTTCCTGGTAATATTTTTTTTTCCAAAAGTGTATTGCAAGTAATGTATTGCTGTTAATAATTTCTTTCTTGAAAAATTTATTGCTGTTAATATTTTTTGCAAAAAAGTATTGCTGGTATTAAAACCTATTTTTACACTTTCATAGTGTTTTGAACCCAGTTTGGGTGTTAACTATTTGCCATTCCAGTTGAATCCATTACATTCATTTACGTGCTAATACCCTTGGGAAAGGTATGAATCCTCTTCTTCTCCGCCCAGCTATGGGTAAATAGCAGGACAGACTGGGTTCTATAGCCTTGTATGACAACTGGTCTACCACAGAAAAAATGGCGCCCTAATGCGGGAAAAAATCTGCCTCGTCAGTCATGTATCGAAAGATACATGATCGCCTAAGCGTGTATCATGCATGGCATATAACTGACTGACTGACTTTCCCGTCAAAACCATTACATTCACTTATATGTTAATACCCTTGGGAAAGATATGAATCATCCTCTTCTGCCCCCAGCTATTGGTAAATAGCAGTACGGACAGGGTTGGCTTGGATGGCAACTAGTCTACCGCAGAAAGAAATGGCAAGCTCCTGCGGGAAAAATCTGCCTCGTCAGTCATGTATCGAAAGACACATGATCGTGTAAAAGTGTATCACGCATGGCACATAACTGACTGACTAACTTTCCCGTCGAATCCATTACATTCACTTACATGCTAATACCTTGGGAAAGATATGAATTCTATTCTTCTCTCCACAACTATGACAGGACAGACCAGGTTCTATAGCCTTGGATGGCAACTGGTCTACCGCAAAAAGAAATGGCACCCTAATGGGGGAAAAATCTACCTCGTCAGTCATTTATCGAAAAATAGATGATCGCCTAAGCGTTTATCACGATTGGCACATAACTGACTAACTTTCACGTCGAAACCATTACATTCTCTTACGTGCTAATACCGTTGGGAAAAGTATGAATCCTCTTCTTATCCCCCCAGCTATGGGTAAATAGCAGAACAGACCGGGTGGCCTTGGATGACAATTGGTCTACTGCAAAAAGAAATGGCAACCTACCGCGGAAAAAAATCTGCTTCGACTGTCATGTATCGAAAGATACATGATCGCCTAAGCGTTTATCACGATTGGCACATAACTGACTAATTTATATGTATCTAATTTAAAACTAGTGTGTCATCATGGTTTGTGAGGAATTGGTCACTATTAGTTAGGATTTCAGGCTTAGGTTTCATCAGTATTATACACTTTAAGTTCTCTTCTAATTATTACATTCTAAATAGTTACTATAAATTAGGTAATTTTTCTCGGTCTGTGAAGAATTTCTAATGTCAGCATTAGTCAGGTTTTTATGCTAAAAGATGCTATTCAGTAGGTAAAATTGGAAACAGTGTGGGGAGATATTAAGTAGAAGGAAACCTTTTTTTCTGATTTCCTCTTTCAAAAGCTTGTGGGAAGTCAAATACATCGCAGCGTTTAAAAAACAGCGAAATACGTTACGATTTCGCTTTTCATGTCGCCTCTGCCCATCCTCCTTTATTTTTACAGCCTTCTGAACTAAATTATTCTGTTCTTTCTTCATCTATTTTGCCCCCCCTTCTTTCTTTCTCTCTTTCTTCATCTATTTGTGCCTATGTTCTTTCTTTCTTTCTTTTTTTCTTTCTTTGTGCCCCTCGTTCTTTCTTTCTTCATCTATTTCTGCCTATGTTCGTTCGTTCATTCTTTCTTTCTTTCTTCATCTATTTTTGCCCCCTATTATTTCTTTCTCTCTTTCTTCATCTATTTATGCCCCCCGTTCTTTCATTCCTTTCTTTCTCTCTTTATTCATTTGTGCCTATGTTCTTTTTACTGACATATAATGACATGTTCTTTATAATGACATTTGACGTTCCACACTACTTCAAACAAAAGTTTAGAAAGGAAACCTCAATCGACACCGGAAAGAGCGATAACAGCTACTGGACTTCAAAAACCTATTTTCCTGGAAAATTGTTTTAACAGAAAGAGTTAATAAATTTCTACTGACAATAGTACAAACTGCTCGGTCAATGAATGCCAAATGTTTCCTTATAAGGAAACGGCTAATATTATCATGACCATTTATCAAACGATTGTCCGTTCTTTTATCCAATCCGCTTAATTCCTTCCTTCCCCGCTATCCTCCCTTTCGGCCTCTCTTCCTTCGATTATTTTTTCTTTCCTCTTATGTTTAATCCCATGTTCGTCGCAATGTCATCACTCCGATTTTTAAAGCATTTTTACAATATCTTACAATCTATGCTTCCAAAAACGGCTAATATTGCTATTACCATTTACCAAGCGATTGTTATTTTATCCAATCCGCTAGCTCCTTCCATCCCCCACCCTAACTCCCCTCCTTCCGTTCCTGCCATCCTTCATCCCTCCCTCCCTTCTTTCATTTCTCCATCCATTTCTTCCTTGCCTACGGTCCTATCTTCTTCCTCTTCCTTCCTTCCTCCTCCCCTTCTTTCCTTTTTTCATCACATCGTTCCTTCCTTCTTTCCCTCTATTCCTTCCTCCCACCACTTCCTTCCTCCCACCACTTCCTTCCTCCCACCACTTCCTTCCTTCCCTCCATTCCTTCCTACCTACTCTACTTCCTTCTTTCTTTTCGTTCTTCCTTCCTTCATTCCTCTCCTTTCCTCTATTCCTTCCTTCCTACATTTCCTTACTTCCCACAAATCCTTCCTTCCTACCTCACTTCCTTCTTTCATTTCTTTCTTCCTTCTTTCATTTCTCTCCTTCCCTCTTGTCCTTCCTCCGTTTCATTCTTTCCCTCCATTCCTTCCTTCCTACCTTACTTCCTTCATCTCTTTCTTTCTTTCTTTCTTTCTTTCTTTTTCCTTCATTCCTCTCCTTCCCTCTATTCTTTCCTTCCCACAAATCCTTCGTTCCTACCCCCACTCCCTTCTTTCTTTCTTTCTTTCTTTCTTTCTTTCTTTCTTTCTTTCTTTCTCCTTCCCACTATTCCTTCCTTCCTCCACTTCCTTCCTTCCCTCCATTCCTTTTCTACCTCACTCCCTTCTTCTATTTCTTTCTTCCTTCATTCCACTCCTTCTCTTTACTCCTGCCTTCCCTCCATTCCTTTCTTCCTACTTCACTCCCTTCTTTCCTTTCTTTCTTCATTCCTTCATTCCTCTCCTTCCCTCTATTCCCCCTTTCCCCCTCATTTCCTACCTCACTCCTTTCTTTCCTCTCTTTCTTCCTTCCTTCCTTCCTTCCTTCCTTCCTTCCTTCCTTCCTTCTATTCTTTCCTTCCCTACATTCCTTTCATTTCTTTCTGCCTTCCTTCATTTCTCTCCTTCCCGCTATTCCCACCTTCCTCCCTTTATTTCCTACCTCCCTTCTTTCCTTTATTTCTTCCTTCCACTACCTCCCTCCCCATACCTCCCTCCCCATACCCCTCCTTCCTCCTTTCGGTTATTCCTTTCATTCCTCGTATGCTTAATCACAGTGTTCGTCGCAATGTCATCACTCCGATTTTTAAAGCGTCTTTTTTTTACTTTGTCATACAATTTATAGTTCGTCACCGTTACACATTCACCGTAAACACAGCGACCAATGAAAGACTAAAACTTCGTGACTCAAAATTGATTATAAAGAAGTGACATTATTGACAACAAAAGAAACCTTCAGTTCTTCGGTAAACGTCGTGACTGCTGCAGAACAAGCAACAATGGCGGCTGGCGACGGAAGAAATTGCCATTGCAATAACTGGTTGAGTAAAATAGCTGGCATGCCAAAGGTAGTCATTTTCTCTGGCTTCAAATAACTGCTTATTACTAATGTTCTTCGATGGAATATTCTTTGGCGTCTTTACGAAAGGATTTCCGGATAAAATCTATGCTGTATCTTGCTCTCACTCATTCTGTCAGACCTCTTGACCGTCCCGCCAAAAAATAAATAAATAAAAGGATTTAAAATCTTTTTGAAGCTGACTATTCCCTTACTGTAATTACTCCTGTATCATATGCATGGTTCTATCCAGATTTTCAAGCGTAAATATTAGAAGGGAGAATCCTTTTCTGATTTTTAGTGTATAACTAATCAACAAAAAGGTATTTACTGATGAACAAGCTCTTAAAAACAACTTGCTAACCTTCTAACATCTTAATGAGTTTGGTACAAGGTCATAATAGTGAGGTTTCATACACACACACGCACACACACATATAGATATATATCACTGACAATTAGAAGGCTATGTTTCTTGTCATAAATCAATTACCTATATCGGACATACTACCACCTCCTTGTGTAGACGTCTCACATGTGACTTATCAGAGCAGAGCGCAATAAAAAAACAAACAAAAAAACATCTATCAGCACACAATCTACAAGATCCCATGAGAAAAATACTGGTTAAAAACACTAGAGTTCTATGTAAATCAAATTACCGAAAGCATCTCGTTATAAAAAAAAGGCTCTGTACATAAAAAATCTCACGCCAATCGTCAACCTCACCTTGTTTAACTATGGGAGCGGCGTCGCGAATGTCTTTTAAAAATTGAAAGTCTCCCACTCGGAATTCCAGTCATGTTCACTACACGGCTCGAAATTAATGCTCGAAATAGAATTCAAAGATCACACAAATAATACTTCTCACACAATCAAAACATGAAAATAAACTAACAACACCAAAAAGAAAACCCTCTTGAAAATGGCGAAAGAAGTAGCCGAAAGTGCTTGGGACAAAAGACGATATGTACAGTTTTTGTATTCCATTACTCCCACCAAACGAAAAAAATGTCAGAACGCTGGAAAAAATAAATAAAAATTTCCTTGATCGTCTTATTTAACGAAAGATGCCTGCCTATATATATATATATATATATATATATATATATATACACCTATTAGAACGCAGAAAAAATATGTGAGAAAATCTAAATGGCCCTTTCACTACAGAATTAATAATTATCATAATCGGATCAAGTCGGCTCCCAAAGAAAGATTATTACCTATAGAACAACATTACCGCCTAGAAAACATGAGTTTAAAAGCCATGCCAAATTCACTATAATTGAAAAAATAGAAATAGACAGAAAAGATAACCTTAGAAAAATACTAGAGGAACATGAAGACAAATGGATTTTGCGCCTCAAAACACTTAGTCCAGACGGGCTTGACCACAAATTTAACAACGTAGATAGAATTAATATATAACCCCCATAAACCAATCTCTACCCACATTTCTCCCCTACACAAAACAGACATGCTTGCCGAGGTTTTGAGGTCTCACGCTTATACACACACTCATACTAATATATGCACATACACACATCATATACACTCCTTAGAGCTAAAAGATAACATACACTTAACACACACATCCCCTAAATGACCAAGGGAATTCTGAGTTGCATGAATCTCCCCAGCCTCTGTCTTAAAAACAACTTAAAATAGGCCGTTTGACCAACACAAGGACTGATCAAAATTAACGATAAAAAAACAAAAAACAAAACAAAAAAACAAATGAAAAATATAGATAAAGTTTATTTGTTTCAGAAATATATTCATTCCTGTATTTCAATGCTGCTAACAAGCAGGAATGTTTTCTCCTGATGATGGCCATGCTGGCCGAAACTAGTTGAGGGACCTAATTGAAATAATATAACAAAAATATTAATGTGTCTGAGTGTCTGATTAATTTTTAATATTTTTGTTGTTCAAAACACACACACACACACACACACACACACACACACACATATATATATATATATATATATATATATATATATATATATATATAATAAGATTATTTGGACTCGTATGAAATTTCCAAAAAGATATAGATCCGTTAAGAGCTCTATGTCTAAAGACAGAGCGAAAATTATTATATGACAAACACTTAAACAACCATAGGTGATATTTTATTTCACTGAAGCCGATAAAAGATGGCTTCAAATTCCTAGACCTGCAAACCAAATGAAGATGGAAAAATTAACTTTAGGTTTAAAATTAAGAATAGTGATTTCACATAGGGAGCAGGGGAAAGAAAGATGTTAAATTATCCTCGTGTAGGTAGAAGGGGTGGGGGATGAAAAAAAAGCGGTGTCAAGTTTTATTAACAACATCCGTGATGACCTAAAATGGCATCAGGATTGTAGACAAAAATCCTTACATGAAATTGGCAATTGAGAATACATTTGACAAAAGATTTTAAGTGTAAATTCGAAAATTTGTCAGGATCCTTCCTTGGTTAAGATTTGGGCACATATAGATTCAACTTAAAAAAAAAACTGTTTTAATTCATATTAAAAATAGTAGTAGTAAAAAAAAAAAAAATTCAAAAATATTCAAAAAAGTATTCAGAACTTAGCTAAAGATTTCAATTTAACCATAAAAAGATGTATTCAGAACAAGATATAACCATATATATATATTATGAAATGAAAAAAAAACCGACAATTATTTTAAGACATTTTTATGTTTATACATTCTTTTTTATAGATACAAATATTTAAGTAAATGCTCTGTTTATAATAAACAGTATTAACAACATTTACCGGCCTGAATGTCTGAGAAATTTTCATAGAAAATATGCGTCCTCCGACAGGAATCGAACCTGTATCCTATACGGAACCGTCATATAGCCTGACGTGCTTTTTATCCAATTTCGCCACAGAGGAGCGTTTCGGTAAGCAAAGGTCGATTTTACTGTTTTTAAATTACAATCTCCCATGATTTTCTCACGTATATTCATATCTGCTCGATGCGTATCCAAAAGTAAACAAATGACGTCACACGTTATAAAAGGGACAAAATAGGACAATTATTTTGCTGTGCTAATCGAATGCTCCTCTGTGGCAAAATCGGTAAAAAGCACGCCAGGCTATATGACGGTACCGTATAAGATACAGGTTCGATTCCTGTTAGAGTACACATATTTTTTTATGACAATTTCTCAGACATTAAGTCCGGTAAATGTTGTTAATACTGTTTATTATAAAACAGAGCATTTACTTAAATATTTGTATCTATAAAAAGAATACATAAAAATGTCTTAAAATAAATATATATTATTTCCTGTATCTTTTCTTTATAATTTTTAGTTCCTGTCGAAAGTTATAGATTCTCTCAGGTTTTCTGTATGAACTCGAAAACAAAGATTCACATTAACTTTTTTCGGAAATGAATTTAAGGTAAATCCTTATCAAAATTTTCAGAAGAGTAAAAGATTAAAATGTGTTTAGGTCTATATCCGTGCTGAAAATATGTTTATAATTAGGATATAGAATAGGATATATATATATATATATATATATATATATATATATATATATATATATATATATATAATTTATTCGAAATAGATTGGTGGTAGTTTCATCGTCAAGCGATGTTTGGAACCAACAAATATTGACAAATATTGAAATTAAACATTCAAGTTTAATTTCAACCAGTTGCTCACCAGTTTTGAAACATAGTAATTTGTGTGCACCGAAGAATCATATTTTAAAAATAATAGACACACACACACACAGACACACACATATATATATATATATATATATATATATATATATATATATATATATATATATAGTATATCGAAATATCTGTCAAGAAATATCCAACGATGCAACATACATACACAGATATATATATATATATATATATATATATATATATATATATATATATATATATATATATATATATGTCTGTGTGTGTGTGTGTGTGTGTGTGTGTGCGCGTTTGTGCAAGTGAATCGCTTGGACAGATATTTCGATTTGATTCACTGAGTCATACTAGATAGCTTTTTTTCGCCTGAATCTATCTTACCGCATTTATAGGTCTACCAATCATCCATGCATGAATATTACTGTCATATCTGGTCTGTTGCTCCTGCTATATTTAGAGTTTCTTGATAAAAATACAAAAAAAAAAAAGAATCTGCATTGTTTTTGGTCCTGACCTGGCATTTCGATTGCACTCAGTTTTCTCCCGGCATAATGTAAGTACCCTGCGACTTTTCCATAAATATCTTTATAGCGATTATTCGGATAAGCTTTTCGCTATGGTAATTAACCTTTAAGAATTTAACCGCAGTTCTAGACCGTCGACGAGGTCTCATCAGTTCATAATTGAGTTGGCTAGATGTAACCGTAAGTTCTATGCTAATAGTTTCTTCTTTCGCACTTCTTGCTTGTGGAACTCTCTTCCAGCTCGCTGCCATCCAATCAACAAAAATTTTAATACAAAATCAATCGCTTTCTACCGTCTTCTTTATTACTCTTCTATTGTTGCTCCTCAGTATTTCTTCTGTTTTCTAATTCTTTCACACCCAGTAACTATTTGTGTCTTAGTGGCTTTACTGCCTTGCTTGGGGTGAACACGATTAAAAAAAAGTTTCTTTCGAGTGTAACCAAACTAGTTTTACCTTTATACGGAACAGGGCCTGCTTTAAAAAAGGTGGCTTTTCTTATATCGCGAACAGTATATGTTTTATCTTATATGAAACGCAAGAACAGTTACAGAAAGTGTATCTATCATTTTGCGTTAAAGTATTCTCT